ACCCTTGGGATCACTAGTCAATCCTCCATTTCTATAGTTCTGAAGATCCAGACCATTTTTATTTAGGCACTTAAATGCAAAACTGAACGCCTAAATTGCCCTAGTTTAGAAACTTTGGGCACAACTCTGCTTGAGCAATTCAGATCTCGTCTTAATGTAACAGCCAACAAACACCAGTCCCCGCTCCTGCTGCAGCCTTTTATCTCACAACATTTAAAGGTTGCTTGCTGGAAGACTGGTAGTTTCTCTGCTGTATCAAGCTATGTTTCAAGAGCAGTCCACTCTGGATTTACAGGCAAGACACCCTGCTCAACACTGAATATTAGTCCAGAAGAGTGACAGCTGTGAGCACTGCATCTGCACAAGCAGTTTCCTTAGCACAGCAAGGCTGAGGGACTAAAATCTACAAAAATCCCTGTGCACAAGAAAAAAAAAAAAGCTCTTGTGTGAGCAATCTGCAAGGTTTTGTACGAAGACACTGTTTTGCAACATCAGAGGAAGTTCGCTGTCATTGATAAGGTGTCGGTTGGTAAACCATCTCACCACTAAAAAACTCCAAGAGTGAAAGGGAAATCCCCAGGGTAAAGCAGAGCTGAAGCAAATGCCAATTATAAAGGAGCTTCCTCACATGCAGAGCCAATCAGGTCACCAGAACACTGGAAAGGAAACTTGAATTTAAAAATATATGATCTGGTTTGCAACACTGAAGCCAAGGGGCAACCACAGTTTATTTATATGTGCATACAAATATATTTAAATAGAACCAGGAGGTTACTTTTCTCAAGAATATGCAAGATTTTAGCCCCCATTTTAGCCCCTTGAAGGTACAGTTCCCAGTTGTAGTGTAGCACTGTGCAAAATAATTGGAGAGAGACATCCACTTGCTTATAAAACAAAGTGGATTTTCTGACTCAAGAATTCATTATTTCCACTAGACTCTGTATCTCAAACTGCTTGAGTGCAGGGTGTGTGAAAGGGTTAACAGTCCCGGTGACTTTATCAAAGATCAACACTGGGGTATTTCTAGAAGATCTGCACGGTGCAACATGATTTTCTTTCCTCCTGAATCTATCTGGCTTCCTTCATCATCTGACAAACTCTTGGGTGGTATTTAGTGGCGCAGGCATCGCCTCTTGCTGTTGACTAGGACTCGGTTTAAGTTAGTTTAAGGCTGCGCCTAAAATGCTGAAAAGAAACTTTCCTTTACACAAAGCCAATCTCAGCGCTGACAGAAGCTAGCACCGTTTTGGTAGCACTTCTTGTGAGAGGGATTGGAAAAAAGGTTCAACTGAAAATTGGCTAACAGGTGGTTGCATTTCTTTGGGGATTAACTTGAGCTCTCTTGTGAATACACTAATTAAATTTATTTGCAATTAAACAAAGCGTAGGTACCAAGTTGATGAGTTCAGATCTTTGCATGTGCAGCAAGTGAAACGATAAACAGTTCATGCAGTTGTGTCATTGCTTTTCCTGCAGGCAGTGAGCCTTCATCAGTGGTCTTAATGCCTTTCCTGTACTGCAGAAGAAAGAAATAAAAACAAACAGACTTGCCACTGTCACTCTAACTGCAGAACTACTCGGATGTACAGAAAAAGGAAGGGAAAAAATGAAGCTATCTGACAACTGTAACATTTCTCAAAATTTAGTGACAAACTCTGAATTTCTTGTGCCTTTTGGGATTAGATAAACTACAGAAATGTCAGTAATCAAACCACCTCCAAAAAAATCATACAACCAGCCACCCTCTGGTTTTTATCCCGTGACTATCAATCACCACTGGAGCTACCTTTCATCACCTTGCCTTTCCACCTCCTGACTTATTTGGGGGGATACTATTAGCACACGTGTAGCCCACAGGGGCTTACTTATCAGAAAACGTTACTTGTGGACGTGAAGAATCCTTTCTCTGGAGGAACATCTAAATGACATTACATCCTATGTATTCTATAAAACCCACAATAAATCCAATGATCCCTTTAGTGCTTATAGGGTCCTAGAAGAGCGAGGCAGCATCTTTTACATCAGGCAACCAGTCTGGAGCAAGATTTGAAAGATAAAATGTTATAAGGCCAGGCTCTGCTTACATGCACACTAATCAAGTATCTGCTCATTTGTTTCTCCTCCTACCACCAAGTCAAGACTAAAAATCTTGAAATCTTGTTATTACCATGCTCCCTGTAATACCCCTTTCTTTGCTGACTGAAGCGGGAACTCGAGAACACAGCCTAAACACGGACAAGTCTTGCATTGTTCTGTTTCCTGTTAAAGACTTGGAGGAAGACAGAGACTTAGAATTACTAGAAAACAGTTGAGGATGGACATTAAATATTGTCAGACATATTTGCTTTGATCTATGTTCAAAATACTGAAAATTAAAATAAAAACAAATAAAAGTTTCCTCGTTCAACCAAAATAAATTACTCAGCCCTAAACTGAACAGAAGTGAATGAAAAAAACAAAGCTAAATAAGCACTTTCTGTGTGAAGAGAGCTCAAGTCAGAATTTCCCCCTTATTTTCTACTCAACTTTTCAACCATGCCTGACTGGCCCTGATTAGCCTGGGGATCTGCTAAACCCGAGGTCCAACCCGTAGGCAATCAGCAGGATAACATCACTGTCCTGAGCTACAGCTTCTTTTGAGCAGGTTGGCCAAGCTCAGCTGCAATTTGCTCAGCAATTCACCTGCCGCGCTGGCAACCACGCTTGACGGAATTAAAATTCTGTTCATTAGCCTCCCCTAAAGGAAGGGACATTTAAACAATGCTAGCAACCAGCCAGCGTGCCCTCCTAATTCCCCCTGGAGTATTGGAATCATTTGGTTCATTTCAACCAACTCTTCAGGGTTTCAAGGATATTGAATTCCCAGAATTTTAGGAAAAAAAAAATTAGGGAACTGGGTGAAGAGAAAACACTTCAAAGAATCCACCACCAGAGGGAAAGTGGCATCTGAGTTATCTGTTATGGCAAGCTCCACGGCAAGCAGGATGGGCAACAGACATGTGCTTTAGAGGCAGCCAGAGGTTGTCTGACCTCTTTCTGAACTGGAAATACGAGAGGGAGAAACTGGCAGCACTTAGGAGAAAAGTGAAGTGGTCGCAGGGACCACAAGGCAGAAGCTGGTGCTACTGATGTGTGTGGGCAGGGGACACAGACCCACAGGGAGCCAGGGCTGATGGTTCTGCTGTTAGCAAACAGCTCAGCTAAGCACAGGAGTGGTCGGACTAGCAGAGATCAGTTATCCAAACTCAGGGTTCACTCTTTGACCACTACCAGGGACTTCAAAATCTGTACATCCCTCTCAGAAAGGCAGCTGTGGAACTATCAGTCCCCTGAAAGTTTGTACAAGTTGCTTTATAAGCCAAAGTCTCGGACCATGCTACATATCCTGAAGATGTAGTACTGACATTCTCCTCAATTTTAATTTCATCAAAAGAAGGCTCCTGAATTTCAGAAAAGGAAACAACAGAGTTCAGAAGATAAAGGATCTGGCAGGGGGATAACCCTAGAAGTAAATGTACATGCTACAAAAGATCGCATGGATACAATCTGCGTGTGCAATATATGGAAAAAAAAATAAAATGTCTTTATCCTGCCTTCATGCCTCCAATAGAGGAAAGGAAAAAATGTCTTTTCCTCTTTTAAAATGTTATCAGCAACACGCTCCATTTACACAACCTGCGCTTAGAACAAATTAAAATAAACCCGCTCACTTCAAACCAGAGACACAAATTTCCATGCACATTTAAGTGTCCCAAAAAAAAAAATCACACTGAAAGCTGGGGGCTGTGCTCCCCTGGGACAGTGTAGGATTGTGCAGGACACTTTGGTCCTTGCCTCCAGAAGCAGGTTGCAAAGCTACCACACAACTTGCTCAAGCACCAGGGAGCAGGAAACTCATTCCTAGTTTGTAGCCACTGATGCCCAGAATATAAAAAGCATCTCTGAAATAAGTTTGCCTCCCTCACTGATGAAAATATTCAACAAAAGCATTTCAATTGCACAGTACCTGCTTTTCTGGGTCACTCCTGCTAACACACACCTTCCTATGCATAGTTTAGAAACCTTTAATTGTGAAGCACATGTAAATTTGTATAATTAGAATAAAATAATATAATTTTACACAGCAGTTGCAAAAATCAGTTAGCTATGTCTTTCACTTTCTGCCCTGCTGGTTACAGCTGGCAGGCAGGCAGCACTAACGAGCATAATGGAACAGGGGCTGGGTGAGGTTGTGAAATCTCCTTCATTAACAGACACTCAAAACTCAGCTGGACAAGGTTAGAGCAACCTGCTCTAACTGGACGTGGGTCTGAGCAGGGGGACAGAGCAGATGCTCTCTGGAGGTCTCTTCCAACCTACATCATTCTGTGATAACCAAACTTCTCCCGTCAGGCACCACGCAAGCAACCCCCAGAATTTCTCTTCCAACTAGTTGCAACTCCTTCCTTCATATACCTGTGCTTAAACAGCTCCCAGGTGAACTAACAGCCAAATTTATCAGCTAGGTTTGTCAACATAAATAATTGACCAACCAGTGTGTCACTACAGCACAGGGCAGCAGCAGACCCGCTACCAGGAGACTGGGTTTCGGTTTGCCCTGGACTGAACCGTGGGTGGGTGCTTGCTGCTACTTGCCTGTATTGATGTTTGGAGCAGTTTTCACTTCTGCCAAGCACTTGGGTGAAAAAAGCTGGGATCCACAGTTAAAATAACTGAGTATTACTGTAGTTCAAACAAAATGAATGGAGCAAAAAAAAAAGATGTGTGCAATAACAATGAAAGGGAGTTCTGCTGATCACGGAAGTCACATAGAAGCAATCTCAAAAGACAAACTTGGTTCAAAATTTCCATCTATAAATACAACCAATCCCACCTGTCGCTCTTCCTCAAGACGTATTCTCTCCTCTTCTTTCCGCCTTTCCTCTTCTCTTTTTGACTCAAGTTTTTTCCGTTCTTCTCTCTCTGCTTCTTCAGCCTAAAATAAAAACACATTATGCAAGCCAAGCCTCACTCTTCCTGAGCAGATATTTTTTAATTTCATACTGTGATACCACCGGGGGGTTTCTTATTATCTTTCTAGATGCACATTCAGAACAGAAAGAGTAAATAGAATAAGAAAAACAAGTCATTATCATTTAACTCCCCCTGCTCCAATCTTCAGCATACTTAATGTCGTGATAAGTTTAGAAATCACCCTTCTCACTCGCATTATCTGTATCTCAATCAGGGTTTCAGCTTGATAATGCATATGAGCTTATTCCTATGGTGACATTAAATAATATTCATGGCATTCCATTTCTCCTCACTTAAAATTTAGTTAGAATAGACTCTAAGGAGAGGAAAAAAAGGAGAGGGGAATATAAACTTTGTAAAACTGAGTACATTGGTTATCATTAACCTGGGCAGAATCTCTTAAGGAAAAAGTCGTACTGGTCTCTTCAAATCATTTTCCTATTTGCTTTCAAATGAGACCTAGAAAAGAGATTGTTGCAAAATGGGGGGG